GTGTGGCGGGGTGTGGCGGGGCGTGGCGGTGGCGTGGCGGCCTGGAGGAGTAGTGTGGTGGCCGTGCTGTAAAACGCGCCGTTTAACCGCACAGTCGTGGTCCTCGGGTCAGGGGGCTACTGGGGCGGGGTGGGGAGTGGCGAGGCGGGGCGGGGCTGGGTTGGCCCGCATTAGGCTAGTCTGGGGCCGCCGCGTACACTGTCCCAGCTTATGGCGTCCGCTCTCCTTGTTCATGACGGTGGCTTGACACGGCCTGGTCGAGGCTTTGGGATTTATGCCGCAGAGAGCTGAACGCCGAGCACGTTCACAGCGGTAAGTACGCCGAGACCCGGAGACACAGATGATGAGACTCAATAAAACTTGACACCTTGAATCAGAAAGTCCTCATCCCGTTTGCTGTCTTTTAAAACGACACGATATACAAAATACATATCGCCAAGTATGAAAACGCTCGCGCCAAGCCAAACAGTTCGAAATTTTAGTGCCTCTGCGAGTGTTATTGCTGCACTATAAAGCAACCGTTAAAAGGGGCTCAGCTCCACACTCCAATGCGTTCCCAGTGCAGTTGGGCAGCTAGCAGCGGTAAGTGGGCTGACCATGCGTGACCCGGACCGGCCCAGCAAGCGGGCGCGGCACCCGGGTTACTCTGCGTCGATATACAGGGTGGTCCACAGACCCCTTCCTTTATTTTGCTTATACTGTACCGCATGCAGGTGTGCGGGCGGGCTTGCCTACCGTCGCTCACCGCGACGCCCTATGGCCCCGTGCGAGTATGCAACCCGCCCGCATCCGCCTGCATCCGGTATAGTATAAGCAAAATAAAGGAAGAGGTCTCTGCGGACCACCACACCACCCTGTACCGCTCCGATGCGCTGGTCCTCCCCGCTCTGGCCGCGACGAGTTTGTCGAGGTAATTTGGTCCACAAGCGACCTCACCCGCCGGCTATGTCCTTCAGCAGGCGGGTCCCTGCGCAGTACAGGGCCACAGGGGGCGGCCCCCGCGCTCCCTGCACAGAGTGCTGAGGCGGGGATCCTCCGAGGGGACCGGGAGGACCTCGGGGAAGACCTCGGGGAGCACCATGGCGGTGGCGGTTCAACCTCGCCTGGTTGGCCACCACTGCGCTACTGCGCTCGCCCGCCGGTCACCATTTGAGATTAGACCAGCTCTGTGCGTGTGGTGGTTAGTTTGGGTCGGCTTGTTTGCCGTCGTAGGAGTGGGTTGTGAGTGTGTGTGGGCGGGGGGGGGGGGGGGCATAGCGTGCACTATCATCTGATTGCTCACGACTTTTTGTGGGAGGTTATCGTTGAATGAGAGAGAGAGAGAAAGATGGAGAGAGACGGGCGGGGAACATGAGTTTTTCTTTCAATAGGTTCAGTCTCGATAGGTGTACTGAAAGTATCGACACCTTCCAAGAAGCACATTGTTTTCCCCGAAAAAAAAATGAAAGAAAGAGTTCGGCTTTGGCCTTTGGCGGTCGTTCCCTTGCTGCTTGAAACATTTCCGCGACCGTAGGGCTGGCAGCGCTACGCCAACAGCGCCCACCTGCCTGTGCCGAGCTCGATCACGCTCGTGGAGCACGGTGCGCTGCTCCAGGCGGGCTCCAGGCAGGCTCCAGGCGGGCTCCACGCGCGGCTCCAGCGAGCAGTGGTACCGCATGGCCCGGGGCCTTGTTCAGAGAGGGAAAAGAAATTAGTGAACGAAGCTCTCTTCCCTGACTCCCCCTCCCTTTCTGTCTCTCTCCCTCGGCGTGTCTCTTTCTCCTTCTCGCTCGGGGCGGGGCTCCACCGAGCTGCTCGGCAGTGAACAACTCCGCGGCGAGCGGCGAAACTCGACCGCATAAGCAAGCAGCAGCAATACACTCCCAGGCCAGGTGTGACAGGAGGGCAGCAATATGCCAGCTCAGACCAGACACTGGAAAATCCATTCTTATTAAAAAATAGTAAATTGTTCCGAGAAAAAATTGAATTTGTGGAAACCCGAGTAGAAATATACTTGACACAAGAAATTATCTTTCTGAGTAAAGGTGTGTTTGGAAGAGTTCATAGTTATCTCAGGATTTCAAATAGCCGAAATACTGGACTTTATTTGAAAAAGTCGTTCACACAGGGCTGCAGCCGCCATAAGTGTGGTAAACCGCTCTGAATGAGTTCCTTGTCTGCGCGGTGTACTCAGTGCTTTTGTGCCGCACATGTGCCGAATGGCGACGGGCCAGAGCTGAAAAAGGTTGGGAAAAGGGGAGGGGGGGGGGAAGGGGGGTAAATACTGTGAATGGAGAGTGGAGGAGGAGGGGGGGGGGATGTTCTTGAATAAAAATGGATCTATAGGTTTTCGTGGCCAACGATAAGATCTGGGAGATTGGGAGGGGGCGGGGTGGGAGGAGGAGGAGGGCACATTACGATGAGAGGGCACGCGAGGACGGCCGCTCCCTCCCAACCTCCTTCCTATCCCTCTCTCTCTCTTGTCCCTCCCTCCCCGTCCCATCGCCTCGTCTCTCATTCCCAGCGTGGGGCACTACCTGCTCAATATGCCGAACCAATCGTCTCGGCCCGGTTGCCGAGGATAGTTCACTCTGTATGGCCCACTTTCGTTCTTCTTCTTCTTCTTCTTCTTCTTCTTCTTCTTCTTCTTCTTCTTCTTCTTCTTCTTCTTCTTCTTCTTCTTCTTCTTCTTCTTCTTCCGTGTAGCGACTACCGCGAGTTGGCAGTATTTTCCGTTCATCCCTTTTCTTGAAAAGTAATGTGTAACGGTGACCTTGTGTGTGTGCGTGTGTGTGTGTGTGTGTGTGTGTGTGTGTGTGTGTGTGTGTGTGTGTGAAGGGGGAGGGGGGCTGAGCTGTGTGTGCTGCGCTCACCTGGGAAATTCCCGGTGAGCTGTGAGGCGTACGATCTGCCGAAAGTTGACCTCTGGATCGCGATACTGGGCCGCGCCGCGACGCCGCTCGTCCGAGAGAGAGAGAGTGAGAGAGTGAGAGAGAGAGTAAGAGGGAAGGGGAGGGTGTAACTACATCAAATTATTTCGAGAGTTATTTCCTCTCTGCTGCCTGGTGCGCGGGTGCGGAGCGAGTCGAGTGTGCAGACCCACCCGGCTGTCCTGTCGTGCCGAGCGCCGCTGCATTTCTCATACCCAGCGTTTATTTATTTCAGCCCGCGTTGTACCGATCGGGAGCGCCACTACAGGCGGCCCCACCGGCCCCACTCCACATATCTCTCACCCCCGTCATTCTTGTCCCCCCGCCTCCCCTCCCCCTCACCCCCCTCGCCCCCCTCCGTGCCGCCGCCTGGCACTTCCTCCTGTGTGGCCCCTTCCGGCCCTGTCCTGATAGAGCTATGGGAGCAGCAGCGCGCGAGCGAGAGAGTGTGGTGTTTGGTGTGTGGGAGGGAGAGAGAGGGGGGGGGGGTGAGAGAGAGGGCCTGAGATGAACAAACGGAGCCATTGTCTACCCTCCAGGCGTCGTAACACTTTAGCCCTAGAGTGGCGGGGCAGGGTGGGGCGGGGGGATTGGCGAAGCGCGGTGGGTGCGGCTCTTCCATGAAGTGGAGAGCATCGCTCGTATGTATGGCCCATTATCCATCGGGGTGTCCTTAATATGGAGAGGGGCGGGAGAGAGCGAGCGACCGGGAGAGAGTAAGGAGGGGGGAGGGAGCAGGGGGTCGGTGGAGAGCAGGCGAGAGGGCGAGGGAGAGAGAGGGAGAGAGGTGAGAGGGAATAAGATGCGCACTCTCCGCCCCTCGATGAGAGTGGGAATGGAGGCACCCGCTTGTGGGTGCGTCGTCGCCGCCGTCGCTCGCGTTCAGCTCTGTTTACAGAATTCAAATGCTCGTTTCACGTCTGCCGAACCTTGTATGTGGAAAATCAGTCCAAAGAAAATAACGCACACAACTGAAATGATGCGATATACCCAAATTGTTGTACTTTTACCGGGCGTTCAGGTTCATGCGAGTACGTTGGGTTGTCTTATGAACTGGCTGCAGCGCCCGCGCCAGAGTGCATAGGCAACCCAACGTACTGATATGCCTGCGCCTCGACACCGGGTAGGATCTGACTGCAGGTAGAGCCCATGTTTCATCGACAGTTTCTGTCCGAAACGGGTCGCTCCTTTTTATTTACCGAACGGAAATTTGAAATCGCCTGCAACCGTTCATGGTTACGATAGGTTGAGCAGGAAATAATCAAAATTGAATTCCAAGTTGGATCGTTCGCACCTGCTCGAAAACGCCGCGCCCCGCGCCAGCCCAGCGCGTACCGAGCCAGCGCCATCTGTCGGTAGCGGAGCGGAACTCAAGTCAGTGTACCGCCAGACGCGGGACGATGGCTACGTGACGGAGCGCGTTCCGTGTTTGTAAAATAATTCGTAAAGAGCCATATCCGTCTTGTCCAGTTGTCGAATTATCATCGTTTGTCCAAAGCAGTGTTTACGGTGGTTTCTAGAGTGCCGATACTCAACCGCCGACGTTTTCCGAGTTGTGTAGAGTGATGTTTGGAAAGACTTCGCAAAGAGAAGGAGGAGGTCGAAAAGTGAGGTTATCCTACCTAGTCTAGGTAGTACAGTCATTTCTTGATTTCGTTACGCGTTTTGGGCCCTGCGACGGATCGTAATCAAGAAACCCCAGGTAGGGACCGGGCACCGCTCCTGGGCGTGGCGGCGTGGCTCGGGGCGAGGCGGGGCCCTCCGGCGGCCGGTCGCCAGGGGATTAGCGACCGGCCGAGAGAGGTCTAAGGCGGGGCGTTCACCTGTTCCGATCAAATTGTGTTCTGTTCGAAAAACGTTCAGTATATTCATAGCATGGTAACAGTCTGACTAAACGATGAAATTACGTCCAAACGGCATGTCGAAACTCCAATTTTTAGGTTTTTAACCGTTATTCGACAACCTATAGTGAAAACGTTAAATAACGGTTAAAAACCTAAAAATTGGAGTTTCGACATGCCGTTTGGACGTAATTTCATCGTTTAGTTAGACTGTTACCATGCTATGAACATACTGAACGTTTTTCGAACAGAACACAATTTGATCGGAACAGGCGAACGCCCCGCCTTAGACCTCTCTCGGCCGGTCGCTAATCCCCTGGCGACCGGCCGCCGGAGCGTCTCGTCACCTGTCACAGCTTAGCCGCCTCTCGCCCGCCCGCCTGGAGTGGTGGGGATGACTCGCGTAACGAAATAGAGAGTAACGAAATCAAGAAATGACTGTATGTACGACTTGGTAATGTTGTTTATTTAGACGTCACATTTTATCAAAGTTCTATCAAAAATCTATCTAGATTTATGAGATGCTAGATTTATTTCATTTATGTGACATGGCTTATGAAGATTAGAAACTTCCTTTGTGTTGAATACTTTGCTGACGCTCGAGTCAAATGGACATTTCTCTTTTTGGGATGTACAAATGCCAATTTGTCGCTAAATTGGCAAATGGACGTGCTTTCGTGCTACTAAATAGAGTGGATAGTGGCATTTCTCGCTCTTCTGGAGTGAATGTTACTTGGTGACATAACCCTACGATCAACAGCTTCTCATCGACAAGGATGCGACGTTTACTGAGGTACGATGGGCAGCAAGATGTAGTATAAGTTGCGAAGGCTTCGTGTTGATTTTGATTGTAAATGACGCAAGCGTAATGTTCATGTTCATGCCGGGCGTGATTTTCACGCCTGACATGGTTTTCACGCTCCGTAGGCTTCACGCAGCCAATGAGGGAATGACTCGGGGGAATGACTTTTGGTCGTGAAAATCACACCTGCGATGGTCGCTGTGAATCTTACTTTAAAATCTTATTTGTTATTTTCACCCTACTGCACAAGTGTGCGCCTACTTGCGGCTCATCGGGATCACGTCCTTTTCCCAACCTAACCCCTCCTCGGCACCGGACGGAGCCGCGGTCTCGGCGGCGACGGGAGCTGAGCACGGCGCATTGCGTCAAGAGGTTAGAGGTTGCCCCAACGGGACCAGCTGAATGTCGGGAATTTCTGACGTTTTGGGGCCATGTGTCTCGTTTCTCACAAAAAGCTGAGTGTGGAAAATAAGAAAATATAAAAATTGGTTGTGCGGTAGCATGGGAAAAGAAACCAGACTGCCCGCATGTCTCTCCGACGAGTGGCGTCTGCAGCAGCGGCAACGCCTCCGTGGAGCATGTGATTCCCCCCCACAATTTTGGTGAGAGCTTGTCCTCCCTCCCCTTTCTTCTTTCTCCGTCTCCTTCATCTGTCCCTCTTCTGCATCTTCCTCTTTTCTCTTTTACTCACGTCATCTGTTTCACTTTCTCCGTCCCCCTCGTTCCTTCCTTCCCTCCCTCCCTCTCTCTCTCTCTCTCTCTC